TACGAGGAATGAGAGCGAAAAAACAGATTCCGAAAACAGAAAAATTCTCAGTTATGGCGTCATGGCGTCTCGGGAACGACAGTTGCATACGAGGATTTATTTTTTCCATATAGTGCTGTATGTCTCAAGGAGAATGGTGCAAATTTCACGTTTCTGCGACCGAGGGTTGGGGAGATGGAGATTTTCAAAGAGAAGCATGCAAATTTTGACCTTTGACCACAGATCATGGCCCCAGGGGTGACCTGAGAGAGCCAGCAATCGGCTCCAAGGCCCTTTCTTGAGGTCCCTTACAACAATTATAGAGCGGAATTTTGATCCAGGGGGGTCGATTTTTATGTTCCCGTAGTACCTTAACTGAAAAGTAAATTTTTTTTTTTACCGAAATCAATCCTCAGAGAACTACTTGCCCACAAAGTTTCAACCTTATACGTTTGCCCTTTTCGCTGGTGAAAAAAAAAAAACATGTTTGGAAAAGCCGACGCACCCAAAAGCTATGCCCGGAGGGGATGCAACATGAAAGCTGAATACTCCCTCAACTCAATAATACCATGTCACTTATACGTGTGCCAAGTTTCACCTTTCCATTTCTGTCCAATTCGCCACGAAAATTTTTTTTAAAAATCGCCCCTCGAAAAAATTCCCCTGGGGATGCATCGAGACTTAACATTTTCCTTTAACTCCTTGTCTCAGTAGTCACATTCATGCAAAGTTTCAGCTTTCCATGTTCTTCAGTTTAACTGATGCAAAAAAAAAAAATTGGTAAACATCTCCCTTTGAAATTTGTGCCCCCAGGGCATTTACTTCCAAAGTCTGAATTTTCTGCACGCAGCATCCCAATAGGTAGTTATGTACTAAGTTTCATCTTTCCACAGCAGCTCAATACGCCAGGGCAAAAAAAATTACGTGAAAACGTCGGCCTCTAAAAATATGCCCCCACAGAGCATGTATCTTAAATTGTACATTTTTCCTGAACTCATCGTCTCGGTAGGCATATCCATGCCAAGTTTCAGCTTTCCATGTCTCTCCGTTTTACTAAAGCAAAAATATTGTTACAGGGAGGGAATGAGTAACGCGACTTGGCAGGCATAGGAGGCCGATAGAAAGCCTTGGAACGGCCGGGAATTGAACCCGGGCCTCCTGATTGCTGTGTCAGGTGTGCTACCACTACACCTCCGAATCCTGGACATCTAGTCTAGCCTCTCGATGCCATCCTAATCCATCACAATGTATATATCTTTAAAAACTTCTCCCCCCAAAATATGTACCCCCAGGGCATGTACCTCCAAAGTCGGATTTTTTGACTTGAGATGTAGGGTTTTCCATGTACACATGGTTAAAAGTCTAAATATTGAAGAGAAGAACATGGTTAGAATTAGCATCAGTCAGTCAGTCACGATCGTCTATATATATTAGATTCATATAGGTGA